TTCCACAAAAATGAAGGATGATTTTTTATACATGACATTTTCACTGATTAAAAGTTTATTGATAGATTAATTTAAGATTTTCTTTAAAAATGTAATTCAATTTTGAAAACATCTGCACCGAGCCTGTTTCTGTGGTAAGTAAATACGGTGACCGATGTTAGCGCGTGGTGATGCTCTGCCTCGCGTCAACAAAATGTCACACGCTGTCATGAACGACGAGATCGTCGCTAACCAAGAAACACGTGGCGTTGGTAACGTCGTCTGTCTTACGATTCGTCCATGGATGGCGCGGCGGTAAGCGTTTCTCGTAATACTGTAAGATAGTTATAGTATACTATAGGTTAAACTTTGAATAATATAGTAAACTCACAATAATCATTATTTTGTTATGTCTATAATTCTTGTATCTTATTTGTCATGTCTTTTATTTTGTTACTTACGCAGCTAAATGGCTTTTGTCATCCCATTAATACCATTGGATTGTGTATTGGCGAAGTCTTTATGCACCGGGACTCAAAGAAAAGTATATATTTAAAATACTATCACGATAATTTAACTTTTACTGATAGGATGCTAGGATTATTGGAGCGGTACTAATAGGAGTGTTTCATGTTGATAAACATTGACGTCATATGCCGCACATGGGCAGTTTAAGCGGTTGCAGCGAGCAGATGCGTGATATTGTTCGATAGAGCCACAGCGGACGCACGACGTGTACGTGCCACGTCCGTAACGCACGCATGCCACGCACGTTTGTACGCGAAAACACGCAGCCAGCGCACGCACGTCTACGTGCACATGCATCAACGCACGCCCGTGTACCTGGCACACACACGCACGTACGCTACGCACGCACGCGCACGCCACGCGCAACCGTGTACCTGCAGATTTCTTGTCTTCACACACGCACGACGCACGCACGACGTGTAACCTGCCACGCCCCCCCCGCCCCGCGCACGACTCGACGCACGCACGCACGCCCGTGTACGTGCTGCACATAGCGGAGGCACGCAGCGCATGTACGCACGGTGTAAGTTCAGCACACACCGCAGCACGCACGTGTACCGTACACACGCCGCCACGCTCGACGCAGAGACACGCACTGTACCGTTCAACCGCACGCACGCACGCATAGTAGCGCACCGTGTTACAGTGCACTGCACGCACGAACGTACGTGTACGTACAAGTCGCAGCACGCACGCAGGCAAGTGTACTTGCCGCACGTCTCCACGCACGCAGCACGCAGCCGCACGACACACAACGCTGCAACGGCATGCCGCAGTGTACGTGCACACGCACGCGGCACACGTAGCGCGCATGCACGCACGGTGTACGTGCACCCCACAGCACGCACGTGTAGGCTGTACCCCCGAAGCGTACGAACGTGTACGTGCGCACGACGGCACGCCGCAGCGTATAAGTTCACACGTTCACAACGCCCGCCGCACGCACTGGCAGCGCACGCATGGCACCGCACGTGTAGTGCAGCACGCACCGCACGCAGCACGCACGTTGTAGGTGCACTACATAAACAGCGCTTTTCTATGCAGAACATGTGGTCATTCATGCTGTAAATCGTCAACAGCACGCTTTCGCTTCTGCCGACCGTCACGTGAAACCTGCCTATAGATTTTATTCCATGTACGGACAGGACGTATTACATAAAGCACGTGACTTTAAGGATACAGTCAGGGTTAGCGGACAGGTACTTTGTAAAGGGCATTGCAGCATAACGTGCTTCATGGCAGATTCAATAAAACTCATGTCTATTTCATAAAAAATATGTTATCTACGGCTGCGCGATGAAAATAATCAAAAAAACTCTCATTGCTAATTAGCGTGACAGATACAATTGTGAATTTATATAGAATATAATTTTTGTCTTATTTCTCAGAACGAGCATTAAAGAGTTGGGACGCTAAACACCCCTGGCCCCCCCCCCCCCCCCCCCCCCCCCCCCGCCGCCCCCCCCGCCCCCCCCCCCCCCCCCCCCCCCTCTTAGCGCTCAGTTTGCTCATAGTATAACTAGCGAACAGACAAGTAATTCGGAATATTTTTTAAGAAATGCTTTAAATTTTTGGAATAAGATGAAAAAGATGGCACGAAAATTTGTAATAAATTTTAAAACGCAAATTTGCGGCTAAGCAGGAAGAACGTAACTTCTAAAATATAATTTTTATAAAATTCCAGGGATCGTTTTTCCTTTAATAGTTTAGCATTAAAACGAATTTTTTTTGGAATCAAAGTTGTGGGTTTTTGAGAAATAGCTTTTGAAAAATTAGAAACTGCAGCGATTTCGAACTGCCTTTGTGGACTATAGTGGTTTCCATTGACCCCCCCCCCCCCCCATTTCAGGTTCCTTGGCAGCACCCCTGTTATGTGAAAACGTAGCGAATGACATTTTGTGACAATTGGAAAATAAAACAGGTTTTGGTTTTAGACATCCGAATTTTAATCTTTCGATTTAAGGCCAGGACAATGCAGCGACAGTGACCGACAGTACCGACAAACGACAAAAGTCGCTGTGACTGGCGGGCAAACAGACTGCAGCCGACAAGCGAGCCAACGTTAGTCAAAGTTTTAGCTCAGGCACTCGTCACAGTGGTACACATACATAATCACATGAACAAACGGCAAAACTCTGCGGCGTCTTTTAAATAACAGGCTGGAAAAACTCTAGGTATAAGGGTAAGATAATAAAGTAAAAATAATACGTAGCACAATTAAGTCATGTACTGCTACGTACTGTGTTATAGGCTGTGACGCGTAGCTTGCCAGAGCTGGCACGCTTGGTTATACTGGTTTCCGGCTGCATTTGTTTGTGAGCTGGCGTGCGCGAAGTTAGCGCGGCGACCAGTCCTACGTATTGGCTAGCTGTGGATGGGTTTATTTATTACTAATCGTAATGGCAGATGGAAACCGGCTGCGATTGGCTATTTTGTAAAGAGTCGCTGGGAATAGAAAGCGTTTCCGGGAAATATTTTTAGTCGTCGAGGTTGTCGCCGTCGTTGTCGTGTGTGTGTTGTGTGTGTGTGTGTGTGTGTGTTGTGTGTGTGTGTAGGTGTGTGTGTGTGTGTGTGTGCAAATGGCTCATCGGAACAATAGTTTTAAATTTTTCTGAAAGGTCGTTGTGTCGTAACGGTCGTCGCTGTCGCTGCAGGTGTGTCTTGGCCTTTAAACGTGTTTTAAGGCAAGTTTACTGCCCACATATCTATCGTTTAATGACTAATATGGTGACGAACAGCAGGAAACACACATAGAATCGACAGAAACAGGATGGATGCGCAGTAAACGGTAGAACGGTCAGTAAGGCTGGGTAAGTCGGTCAAAAATGACATGCAATAAATGCTGCAAGGTGGCGGCGTGGATGGGGATAAAAGCATGTAGTTGAGTGCCGGGATTGAAGAGGCTGTGACTTTTGTCTGCTGTGTTTTAGGAGGGTCACAGCACGACGTTGAGCGCTCTAGTATAGGATGAAGAAAACTTAAGCAACTCGAATCGGAGGAAACTGGGGCATTGCTTTACAACGGTAGCTGTTGTAAAAATTCGACCGCTTTTGAGACTTAAACGCGAGCTCAAATCCAGGCGCAGCTGACCTCGGGAAACTTAAAGACTTATAAACGCGGGCGCCAGTTTTAAGACTGAGCGCTGATGAATGTAGATTACGGGAAGTGTGTAAGGGCGAACTGAACTTAGTAAGCTAGGGAAGTCTAAGCACAGCGTCAGGCTCCTGAAAAATAGAGCTGCCTAAATTAAGAAGGGCGTAACATCATTGGTAGTGCGTTTTGGGATAATAGGGCATTGCAATGCTAATCCTCACGGTTACTTTTTGGACTCGCTCCTAAGTGGCGGAGCCTAATGCGCGCAATAGCTGACTCTGCGGTTACCAATGACGCATTACGACGAACGCCCGTAAAAATTTGAGGACGCGATATGGCAGGGCCAAATGTTGGGAACTTGGCCGTGGCTCGATCGCAGAACGAAAGGACAAAGTTTGTGCTAAACACCTATGTTTCAAGTGCCTAGTTACAAACCATAACGCACGTCAGTGTCCGGCCAGGTGTGTGCAGTGTGGTGATTGACACCATCAGGTTCTCTGTGACGGATCGTCAAAGCTCAAGTATCGGAGGAGAAGTTGTGCAAACATTAACAATAACTTGTTAATGACTCAATTTTGCACAATACTACCTCTAGCTAGGGTGCGTGTTCGGGGTCAGTGTGGGGTCACCGAGGCCACATTGCTGTTCGACAGCGGGTCCGGCCGTTCTTATGTGTCAAGTAAGCTGGTTAAAAGAATAGGACCCGAATGGGTCTTGGCGAAAACTGTTTTGCCTTATTTGGGGGTGACACATCTACCAAAGGTGAGTTACGTAACACGTACAAACTAGAGCTGTCCAGTTTAACGATTGGTGCATTTAGAAACCATTAGGGCTGTTGCGGTTCCAACCGTCTACACCCCTTTACAGCGACCTCAGGTACCTTAGAGTGTGCTCATGCCTTAAAGGGTATTAAGTTTGAGGATTCACAGTTTGAGTGTGGGGATAAGTTTATTGATATTCACATTGGTATTGACACCTATTGGTGGGAGCGCTTGGTTCACTCCCCAAAATCTGGCTTTTAAGAGAGGGAGAGAGAGAAATATATTGAAGGAGTATGGTACCGTGCTTAGCACTGGTTGAGAGCACGTGACAGGTCTTGAAGCAGCATGTGGCCATAATTAAAGAAATATGGAAGAGAGAATATAATGTGGGAAGACTCCAAGGTAGTGGTTAAGACTCCGGCACTTTCTATTTCTAGTCCCCTGATTGGCTGCTTTTGGTCGCTTATGTTGCAATAAAGGTAAAACCGTGGTAACATATTTTAACCGAGTAGGTTTCGGTTTCGTTTCTGTCTATTATTATACGCTAGTCTGCAATATTTTATCGCTACATTAGATGTTGTGACAAATACTTTTATGTAAAATTATTTATTAGGGTATCTTACCTTACAGCGTTGCATCTCACTCCGTTACTAGCCAGATCTAAAAATAAAACAAAAAACAAATACGAAATACCGAATATTGTACTGTTTGGTTATACTATTTTATGTTTGCTTAGTAATATATCGGAATTTTATGTTGCATAATAAAAATGCCATGTTTAGTAACGAAA